ATCAGATCAGATGAAGGTCTTCAGAGGCTGCTGCCTGTGATCAAGAAATCTAGGACAGCTCTGTAAGTGATCTTACATCCGTCTGTTGCTAAAGAAGTACAGATGTTATTCATGATACTGCTTTTATATCTTATCAATACAACTATAGTGTATTTATATAGACCACCCAGGAATTATTTTTGATTCTGCAGGAATTATTTTGATACTGCAGGATATGTATATTTTTTTAACGTTCTTGGTGTGGTGTGTGATTCAGTGGGTTTGGACTCTGTGGGCCTGTGATCAGAAGGTCACTGGTTTAAATACCTGGCTGGCAGACTGATGCTGGTTTTGGGCCCTTGAGCACGGCCCTTTCCCCCCCAGCTTCAGGGGCACTGTATGCTGGGCAAACCTGCACTCTGACCTCCAAATTGGGGATGAATAAAGTATCACTATTTCATCCCTGCCTGACAGGATTATTTGATTAGTGTTTTGGAAATTTAACAGGTTCTCAGATATAGCAAAACAAAAAATAAGGATTTCAGTCATGGTGTCAGCAATTCAAAAGTCATATAAAGTTATAATTAAATAAACTTCAGCTCTTCTTGACATTCAAATCCCACATAATCACGCACACACACACATCCCAGGCAGGAACTGAACCCAAAACCCTAGAACCCCTGGGTCGACTGTAGTGCTGATCACTGAGCCCCAGCGCTGCTCAGAGCTTTATAAAAATACTTATACATATATTACAGAGTCTCAGGGTAACTCACCCTGTAAGGTCATTAAACAGCAGTTTGGTCTCAGCTCAAAGTCTCAAGTAAAAACTCTTTGTGTTTCTGACTGGGACAGGGAAACAACAAAATTATTGATATATTTAAATATCCCAGTTAATGAATGGATTTTAGAGCATGTTCACTCTGATGCCCTTATTAAACTGGCTCTGTAAGACAATACAGAACAGGATTTGGGAATGTATGACTTATGAAAATGTACAGCAAATAGTGAAAATACACAGTAAACTCACAGGAAGAGCTATATTCTACCAAAATCTATTCATCTGTGTACATTGATCCAGTCCTGACCCATTACACTTTTCATGGTATTTGTGCTTTGAATTGAAAGTATTCACTGTGTTCTTCATGACGGGGAACATGAGGAACATCAGAGGATTGTCTAGTTCCTTTTGAAGCATATGCTGCCTCACTTATTGTATTTAAAAATAAAAATGTTTATTTTGGTATTGGATATACCTGTGTGTATGGTGTATGTATTTTTATCTTAGCATGTTTCCTTTTCCAGCCTGAACAACTGTAGACTCACAGAGACATGCTGTCCAGTGTTGGCTTCAGCTGTCAGATCAAACTCCTCTCAGCTGACAGAGCTGGACCTGAGTGACAATGACCTGCAGGATTCAGGGGTAAAGCTGCTCTCTGCTGGACTGGGGGATTCACACTGTAAACTGGAGATACTGAGGTCAGTATTACTGATTATTCCACAGTGTAAACTAATTATTGAAATATTTATTGAAGTTGTCACATTACTTTAAAGTAATACTTCTAGTGGTGAGGTGTTTTTATCTACTGGAAAGTTATTTTCTGTCTCTCTGCAGGCTGTCAGGCTGTAGAGTCACAGAAGAAGGCTGTTCTTCCCTGGCTTCAGCTCTGAGGTCAAACTCCTCACACCTGAGAGAGCTGGACCTGAGTGACAATGACCTGCAGGATTCAGGGGTGAAGCTGCTCTCTGCTGGACTGGGGGATTCACACTGTACACTGGAGATACTGAGGTCAATATTACTGGGTATTCCACACTGTCATCTGTAATTATTGAAATCTTTGTTGGAGTCATTACATTTACTTAATAGCATTGCTTCTAGTGCTGAGGTGTTTTTATTTATTGGGGAGATATTGTCTGTCTCTCTGCAGGCTGTCATTCTGTAGAGTCACAGAAGAAGGCTGTTTTTTCCTGGCTTCAGCTCTGAGTTCAAACCACTCACACCTGAGAGAGCTGGACCTGAGCTACAATCACCCAGGAGACTCAGCAGTGAAGCTGCTCTCTGCTCACCTGGAGGATCCCAAATGTAAACTGGAGAAACTGAAGTGAGTACAGAATGTATGTCTGTCCCTGTTATTATGTGGAGAAAATACAACAATTAAATAAATGGATACAGCAGTACTATGTCATTCTGCTTCTGCTATAGTGTGGACCACAGTGGAGAGTGCAGGACCAGACCAGGGTTCCAGAAATGTAAGTTTGTTTGCATGTTTTTATTCTTAATACCATTAATTCTACTTTATGATACCATTCACATAATTTAAAGACGACTACTTCCTTAAATAAAAAATAATCTGGGAGCTTCTTGTAGAAATACATTAAATCTTTTTTGAGATTTGTTAGTATTGTCCTAAGACAGCATCCGTAATCTCCCCAAACTGGCTGTGACACCGAATGTCTCCTCAGTCTGCGCTAGTGATGGGAATTTCGGCTCTTTTTAGTGAGTCTGATCATTTGCCTCAGCTCACCAAGAAGAGTCGGCTCTTCCGGCTCCTAAACGGCTCTTCATTTTATCACTTCAGTCCAGCCAGATTCAGCGCTGTTTTGACCCATGACTGATATGTGTACTAAACCTTATAATTTCCTTAATACCATAATTTTACATTATGTTTGGTATAAAGACTAAATGTAAGAACATTAAACACTACTCCACCTGTATTGAACAGGTATAGAAGTGGAAAATTTGTTTTTGTGTTTGATCCAACAAAAACAGTCAAATAACATAACAAATAAAAAATAAAAAATACATAAATTACAACGTGCAAAACAGCAGCATCCAACAGTTTAGTTGTATCTGTTCATTATAACAACCATCAACTTTCTAACAGTGTTTCATTTTAACATTTCCTTTGGGGCAGAAAGGCTAATTGCCTCAGCTTAGACGGGCTGATCCGGCTTCTGGTAGTAGCAGGCATGCTAGCCTGTCTTTTTTCTTCCATCTGAACTGTTGGATGCGCAGTTCTTAAGTGTCTGTGAAGGTTGCTTGTGGACCCTGCTCGAAATGACAGCTTCATCTTCAAACTGTGCATTCTGCCTTTGAGTTATTATAGCTATTAAAATGCATCCAAATGTCGCTTCATTTCCGTTGTCAATCATCTTGCCTACTATTCGCGCACCACACTCCCTCTCTTTCTCTCCTCCTCTCCTCTCCTCCTGCTCTGTACCTGTACACCGTCAGCACGCGCACGCCCCTCCCTACGTTTAACCTGATGGTATGAACCTTGTCTGACTCATCACGTGATTGGTCGCGCGGCTCGCATGCCATTAACACAGACTTCAGTCACAGTCAGAGCAGCATGGAGCGTTGAGCTGCGGAGACGTTTTGCTTTATAAAAATGTCTCTCGGTCAGGAGCCGGATCTTTTGATCGGCTTGTTCGCGACCGACTCATCACTAGTCAGTATGTGTCCCAAGTGGTTTGAAGGAAGTTCTTATTTTAAAGTAAAAACAAATAAATTTTTAGTGGTAAAACTTTTACTGGTACTCTTTGGGGTACAATTTCATGTCTAACATGTCTGATGAATGCTGTTTGAATTTTATTTACGTGTAATTAAGTCTGTTAGTTTAGCATGCGCAGCATTTTGGCGCCTTTTCGTGCGGGCATCCGACATTTCCTGAGGTATTTCACATACTTGAATTCCTGCTTCGTTAGGGGACGCTGTGCTGTTTTTATATTTTATGTATTACACAGAATAATAGAGCGCAGGCTAAAGTGCAGTTCGGTCCCCAGCGAGTCTCTCAGCGCGGCGTGTCTCACAGCGCAGCGGGCAGCCGGAGCAGCGCAGACTCGGGCGGCTACATGAGTATATTGGGAATAAAATGTGTGTATTGGAGCGAGTTCTGTGTTAGTGAGTGTGTGAGGTGTGACAGTGATAATGATGGAGATGCTGGGCTTCGTGATGGGATTAATCGCTGTTCCTCTTGCCTACAGACTCCTGCCAGCTGACGCTGGACCCCAACACAGCATACAGCGGCCTGTCTCTGTCAGGGGGGAACAGGAAGGTGACATGGGGGGCACAGCAGCCATATTCTGATAATCCAGAGAGATTTCACTGCTGGCCCCAAGTTCTGTGCAGAGAGACTCTGACTGGTCGCTGTTACTGGGAGGCTGAGTGGAGTGGAAATGACACCTGGATAGCATTGACTTATAAAGGAATGAGGAGGAAAGGATACAGTGTTGACTGTGGGCTTGGATTCAATGACAAGTCATGGAGTCTGTGCTGCTCTCCTGACAGTTACTCTGTCTGTCACAATAATAAACAGACTGTCATACCCATAAAGCCCTCAGGTCCCCACAGAGTAGGAGTGTATCTGGACTGGGCGGCTGGTACTCTGTCCTTCTACAGAGTCTCCTCTGATGGACTGACCCTCCTGTACAGATTCATCTCCTCATTCACTGAACCCCTCTGCCCAGGGTTTTATGTTTATTCAAACTCCTCTGTGTCCCTGTGCATGCTGGGATAGCTCACTGTGTGCTGGAGGAATCATTTTTACCATATCAGAATGTCACGTGTCACTGCTTCTCCATGGCAAAAAGGTAAAATCTCTGCTTTTTAACCAGTATAACCATTTTTACTCTGTCTGAAGTGTAACGTATGTAACATATCGCCCAGCTCTACGTATGTTAGACAACAATAAATGACTGGTTTCGGCAAGCTGAACAAACATGTAAAATAACTATATTTGTTTTTGATTAAAATGTAATTCTGGTGATTAGGGGGGGGCTTTTCCCCTCCCCCATATGTACATTTTATATGTTTGTCTATATATTGTATTTGTTACCTGTACACTGACAATAAAAGCTTCCTATTGTATCCAGTTAATGTCCTGGTTCAGTGCTGCTCAAATCATAACTGTGGTAACTGAGTAACATAAATCATATCCATCCATCCATCCATTATCCAACCCGCTTATCCGATTGGGTCGTGGGGGGTCCGGAGCCTGTCCCGGAAGCAATGGGCACGAGGCACATAAATCATATAACTCAATTAAATGAATGCAATTTAATATAAATTAACTGATAGATTTCTTCAGTGAAACCTCAGGTTCTTTTAGTTGAATGACGAGGCAGGTTCCTTAAGCTTAAGCAGTTTATTAAGACAGAATGAAGATGTTACAGAAAGATGTTTCACACAGCCGGTTCAGAGTCTGTCTGTGTCTGTCTCTGCCCCACTGAGGGACTCAGGCCCTTTATCTATGGTCTTCATACAGACTCCTGGACCCAGGGGGTCAGACGGCCTTGGTGAGAGTAAGTTGTATGAGAGGCAAAGAACATGATGAGCAAGTAGCAAGGACAGAAAGAAATATAAAAATAAGAACTATGAAAGCTATAGATGAATAAACTAAATGAACATACAGTTGAGGCCAAAATTATTAGCCCCTCAGGAATTATGGAACATTTTCCTAAACTTCTTCCCAATGTTTGCAGCATCGATGAAACTTTCAACATGACAAACATTCACCAGTGCTATTTAGTAGCTTTTGGTACATTTAGTAATATACATTTTTAGGCTTGCTTTATATCAAATATAGTAAAAAATGGGGAGGTCAAAAATATTAGCCCCATGTGAATGTTTGCTTTCAAAACACACCTACAGTAATTAACCAATCAGCTTTGAAACCACACCTGTGCAGTCAATTGGCTTCCTAACAACATTCAATCAGCATAAAAAGACTGCAAGGAACAGCTCTTCATTGTGGTGGGCTTCAGGGCCATCGTCCCAGAAGAACCCCTTTACTCAAAGAGCGGCACATCACAGCCCGACTCAGGTTTATCCGTGAACATTTGAAAGGTAAAGATGAGTTTTGGAAGTATGTGCTTTTGGTCAGATGAGACTAAACTGGGCACATGGATGTTGCTTATGTTTGGCGAAGAAAGGGACAGGCCTTCAACCCAAGGAACACAGTTCCCACAGTTAAACATGGTGGTGGGAGCATCATGCTGTGGGGCTGTTCTGCAGCCTCAGGAACAGGGAGCCTTGTTTGGGTGCATGACATCATGAAAAAAGAAAATTATGCTGACATTTTGAGGGTGAATATGCAGAAATCTGCTTGTAGCCTAGACTTAGGTTGTTGCTGGGTCTTTCAACAGGACAATGACCCAAAGCATACATCGAAATTACTCCAACAGTTCCTCAACAATACCAAAACCAAGATCCTGGAGTGGCCCGCACAGAGCCCAGACCTCAATCCCATTGAGAATTTGTGGCGGGTGCTCAAAGTGAATGTCCATGGTCAGAAACCATGCAATTTGCACCAGCTAGAACAATTTGCAATGGAAGAATGGGCCAAAATCCCTCAGGAGACCTGTGCCAACCTAGTAAAGAACTACTCTAAGAGATTATCAGTTGTGGCTCAGAAAGGGTACATTATTGACTTTTAATGGCCAGGGGGCTAATAATTTTGGATGTCTCATTTCATGGAGAAATCAAATGAGAAATCAAGAGTGTTGTCTAATTTCATAAGGGTGGCTAATAATTTTTGCCTCAACTGTAATTAAATAACTACAAATTAACTAGGGAAATTCCTCAGTCTCCCCTATGTTTCTATGGAAAACAAAACACATCGAATCATCATGAGTAATTAATCACAACAAGTAAATGACTGATCAGGGTATAACTGTAAAACTCAGCATAAAGCCTTGGATCTACACTAGGTTCTAAAAACCAAGTGAGGCACCTTGCATAAAGGTAGTAAAATAAAATAAAAAGTAAACCCATATCCATTAATCACAATTAATCCATCATCATCAGTTTTAGCAATCATGTTTCCATAAAGATATTTGCACAGACTACCAGAAAAGCAAATGAAAAGCTTGACAATCCACAATGTGTGTGTTGTTAGTCTTCTGGCTGGTTAAAGTCTGTGACTTTGTCACCCAGCAGCGTAGGCCAATAAGGGAGAGGTTACTAGCACATCACCTTAGCGCGTTACATCTCAGGAACATAGTCTACTCTTCTGCAGGAATGAATGAATCCATCTGCTTTTACCACACACTTTAACTGCTGCATTTGTTATTAACAGTACCTGATATGGGCCCTCCCACTCAGCCCCAAGCGGTTCTTTCTGAGGTTTCTTGATCAGTACCCACTCACCAGGTACCAGGGTGTGACCTCCGTCGACGGGATCTTCCCACGCATCGGAAACCTGTTGAAAGGCAGACTGAACGGCATTGGTGAGCTTAAGATGCATCGGACGCCCTGTGATGATCTCAAATGGGCTCAAACCAGTCTTTTTGTTGGTCGTCGCTCTGATGCTGTGGAGAACGACTGGCAGTGCCTGAGGCCATGGCACTCCTTCCTGATGATATTTGGACAGCCTGTTTTTGATGACTGTTCATTTGCTCCACTTGTCCCGATGACTGGGTGATGAGGGCAGTGGAATGACCACTCAATGCCCATGAGTCGGCTGATGATCTGACAGACTGCTCCAGTGAAATGTGTTCCTTGGTCTTAGTCGATCTGGCATTGTAGGCCCCAGCGTGGAATGTAGTCTTTGACCAGTGTCTTTCCGGCGTGTGTGGCTGTGGCTTTTCGGCAGGGAACTGCTTCCACCCACCTTGAGAATTACATCTGAGTATGTATTGTCGGTGGTGGAAGCGTGCGTTGTAGCCGCTTCCCCCACGAGTGCGCCCGAAGCCTGTACCTTTAGGGGTACCCGCTTGGCCCTTAAAGGGGCCAGGTCTCCTGAGGACACCATTCCTAAGGTTCCCTAGAAAGGCGGTTTCTCTAGCTCTGCCCCACAAGGTTCCTGTGCCGGCAGTTCCTGCCCAAGAGCCACATCACCTCCCCGCCCCGAGGCATCTGACCCAGAGGTGCGTCATCTCCCCTTGGCTCCTGTCCCGGCAGTTCCCGCTCTGCGTTCCATGGTTGCAATACATTCCTGTGTATTTCAGTCTGTGTTAGAGTATGTTTCCCTAGACCTGTCATTAATGTCATTTTAACGTTGCTGCCAGTCCTCTCCCCGTATTCAGTGTCTTTCCCAATAAATCCCTTGTTACCCTTATTCCTGGACTCCCGTCCTTCCCTTCCCATCGTGCCCCTACAACTTATGACAAAGTGTTACTGCAGTTCCGCATTTTATATGCACAAATTTAACACGTAATTTGCGTATGACGGGATTAGGTGGCAGCGGGAACTTGTCCCATTTCTATTATTGTAACTTGTTATGTAGTGACATAGCTAATATTCACAAAAAAGTGGCTGGGCCACTGAGTCTGTGTCTATTTCCAATTAGACCGCTCCCGCGTTTGGTATGAAGGTGATTACTGGTATTTCCTGCTGTGTGTAAATTAAACTGAAAGTATTTCAAAGCTGGAGTCAACATTTTGTCAAGAAACACGGATAATATTCTGGAATAATATAAAGACATTTTGTATTGCAAGGTAAGATTATATTTAACAGATACAGTTAATAATAAAATAAGCATGTATAACACACTTATATACAGTGGCGGCGCCGGTGATTTAATGTTGCAGGTACTATGGAGAAGCTAGATTATTATCTGGTACAGGTGTGACTGGGAACTGAGAGGGAGCAGAAACGCGGTCTGTCCCTATGACTGGTTTTAAAAGCATTGCATTCGGCCCCTTTCGACAGATTTTGCATCTATCAGATATATTCTTTGTGTTGGGATATTACTGAGTTTAGTATCCAATAATTGGTGCAAAATGTGCTACAAATAGCCATATTATGTTCGTGGTAAGCCATAAGGAGTCATTTACTGTCACACTAACAGAAGACAATGATGAATTAAGACTTTAGAACCAGGCCTGCAGTATTGCAGTTACTGGAGTTACTGTTGTATTCATGTTATATGTAAACATACTGTAATATGGCAAACACAGGACTGACTGCGTTCCATGTGGTAGTATGTATTGGGCTTGTTTTTGGGCTTGATTTCTCCATCTCACTTTGACAGTGGGCTTATTTTGGGCTTGATTTCTCCATCTTACTTTGACAGTGGGCTTATTTTGGGCTTGTTTTCAGGGGTGAGGTTGCTTGTTTGTCTCGTGAGACTTGACAACACTGGTGTCTGATTGGCAAATTTCTCAAACAATACTGTCTGCAGATACGGGTGTTCAAGCTCGTATTTTGACTACTTAGCTACGTGCCTGACTATAAAATGTATACCTATCAGCTATGTAGGATAATTAAATAAATAAATTCTAACTTGTAGCTCATGCAGCCTCCTGCGTATTTTGGACAAAAAAGTACAACTCAGGTAGGCCTATAAAAACAGTGAACCTCAACCCCAAAGCCCAAGATATTATTTTGTGTTTTTTCTCCCAGCAAGACAGTTAAACAACGTAGATTTGTTCAGCAGAGGTCGTTTTCTAATTTAAAAATAAAATTTATTGTAAGGCAGAATTTGATAATGCGTGGGCTTATATGTATAAAATATCTAGACAGAAAATACAGTAGAAATGGCAGGTCTCATGCCTTTATTTTTATACCTGTATATAAATTAATAGAAGCAGCATGAAAAATACACTCACAATGGATCTGAACTGAAATAATGGTTTTGATGTTCAGATGTTGAACTTCAAAATGGTTTTGAAGTATCAGATGTTGACTTTACTTCAAGCAATCAACAAAATTTGATGGGTGGGTGATTGTAAAGGAGCAGTCAGGACCTCAAAAGGGAGGCACTTTCAATTCAGTCATTCAGGCTAAATGGCAGGACACCCCCCCCCCCGCATGTACCTACTTGTAGTTGAATCTCTGACTCTCGGTTGTATGAAACTCGTAGCACTTCCTTGCTATCAGTTTTGATGTCATGGTGAAAGTTCATTACAGCAAGCCCAGAAAATTACAATA